CTACAAAATGAAGAGTTGGCGGTCTTGGCGGTGCTCGTGCAGTGAATTGGGTTTTGGGTTGTTTTTTTTTCTTAGTTTACATGTTGATCCCAGTTCCCTCTCCCTCCCTCTCTTTTATCCCCCCCCCTCCTCCCATCCCATTGTGAATAGAGTTATTAATGGGTCCCACTGAGTTCACTGGGCCAAATGCCTAGGAAGAACTAGGACTGTGAAATGGCCCGGTGTGGGTGAAGGGCAGAGACCAGAGATGTAGCGGATGAGGAGGGGAGGCTCACAGGAAGAGGGAAGGCAAAGACTACATAGAAAAGCCTAGCTGTACCACAGTGAGAGCTTGAAATGTAGAATGCTAGAACTCTACCTCCCTGGAGAAGGGCAAGTGATGCCTACAAGTTCAAAACCAGTCTGGGTTACATAGTGAGTTCCAAGTTAGCCAGGGCTCCCCTATATCAAACAAGCAAGCAAAGATGGGTTAGGGAATGTAGCTCAATTGGTAGGGTACTTGCATACATGAAGCCCTGAGCTCTAGGGGTAGTGTGACCCCTGCACTTGGAAGGTGGAGACAAGAGTATCAGAAGTTCAAGGTCATCATCAGCTCTGTAGGAAGTTTGAGGCCAGGCTGGGCTTTGTGGCTGTGTGATATCCTGTCTCAAAAATGGGGGTGGGGGAGCATACAAGATGCCTTTGGTGAAGCTTTGGATCTTCAGTGTCTTACCTTTCCCAGCCCCACGCCCAGTGGCTGCTAGCAGTCTTACTGTCTCCCTGCCCTCTTTATTCCTGACAGCCTTTATCAGGCTGGCTGGTGGCCACTTTTGTCAGGGTGGCAGGGCGAGATTGAAACCAGTGTCTTCTCAGATTTCACCGTTCACGTTAAGCCATCTCTAATAGCCTGGCTAACAGAGTTGGCTGAAGGACTGGCTTGAGATAGAGTTCCTAGGGGGTGGAAGCATCTTCTCTGGTTCCTGGACCGAAACCTGGAGGCTGGTGACTCAGATCCTGCTGAGGAATAGTTTCCTTTCCAGTGTGAGTCCCTAAGGACCCGGGCTCAGCCTACACACAGGAGGAGCTAGTATTTATAGAGGGAAAGGGGTTTCAGGGAGGGAAGGTGGCACCAAGCCTGTGTGGGTAACAATGGGGAGGACATTGTGATTAAATTTCTCCTTCCGTCTGTTTGCTTAGCTCTCAGTGCAAAACCAGGACCTGATTGAGAAGAATCTGACACTGCAAGAGCACTTGCGCCTGGCCCAACCAGGGTCCTCGTCTTCTTCACCAGACACGGCCCAGCTGGCATGTGAGCTGCACCAAGAATTGGCCATTTGCCTTCAAGATCTGCAAGCTGTCTGTAGCATTGTGACCCAGAGGGCCCAGGGCCACAACCCTAACCTCTCTCTGCTCCTAGGCATTCACTGTAAGTCATCAAAAAAGTACCTTTCTTTCTCTCACCCGTCCAATTTTGCTATCCTTACGGTAATTGTGAACCAGGTGCATTGGCCTCGGCATTGCCTTGTGGGAGTTGTCAAAGTAAGCGTTCATTAAGTGTTTCACAAACAGACCTCCTTAGAGGATGCTTGCACAGAAGACAAACAGAAAGCAGGCCTCAGGCACCACATTCTCAGCTCACTATTCCCAGCTTGGGTTCTTTGGTTTGTTGTTGGTGGTTTTTTTTGGTTTTTGTTTTTGTTTTTTTTAAGACAGGGTTTCTCTGTGTGGTCCTGGCTGTCTTGGAACTCTCACTGTAGACCAGGTTGGCCTTGAACTCAATGAGATCCTTCTGCCTCCCAAGTGCTGGGATTAAAGGCATGTGTCACCATCGCCTGGCTACCAGCTTGTTCCTTAAAAGTGTCCTGTCTGAAAAGGGAGCGGCATGCAAGATGCCTTTGGTGAAGCTTTGGATCTTCAGTGTCTTACCTTTCCCAGCCCCACGCCCAGTGGCTGCTAGCAGTCTTACTGTCTCCCTGCCCCCTTTTTCCTGACAGCCTTTATCAGGCTGGCTGGTGGCCACTTTCGTCAGGGTGGCAGGGCGAGATTGAAACCAGTGTCTTCTCAGTTTGGGGCTGTAGCTTGTAGTTGAGTCCTTAGTGTAAGCAAAGCCCTGGCTCAGTCCTCAGTACTGGAGGGGGAAAAGCTGTGTCCTAAGATCATGGCTCTTTAAGAACTGCTTATTCAGACTGGAGAGAGGTAGCTCAGAGTTAAGAGTACTGGCTATTCTTCCAGGAGACCCAGGTTCAATTCCCAGCACCCACATAGCAGCTCACAACTGTCTGTAACTTCAACATCTGACACCCTCACACAGATGTGTCACCACACACCAATGCACATTAAAAAAACAAAAACAAAAACAAAAAAACCCTGCTTGTTTGTTCTGCCCATTCCTCATAAAGTTGCTGTCTGATTTGCTAACATTCTTCAAATCTTCTTCTCTTCAGCCACCCAGCACGCAGGGATTCAGCTAGATTTGCAGAAGCCAGATGTGATCAGGAGAAAACTAGAAGAGGTTCAACAGCTGCGTCATGACATTGAAGACTTAAGGACCAGCCTGTCAGACAGATATGCCCAGGACATGGGAGAAAACTGTGCCACACAGTGAGGAGGGCCAGAGATGACCCAGCTGTCACTAGCCTCAACAGAGTTTCCTGCCCTGACAATCCTGCCTTCTGCTGCTGCACCCAGAGGGGAGAGCCTAGATCTGGGGCCAGGGTTGACGTGAGAAGCCTGCCTGTTGTGTTGTACACTGGCTTTGCCTTACTGGGTTATGTTGTACCTATTTTCTTACTCTCAAAGGCTGAGTTACTAATTAACCTTTTTGCAGATTCAACTGATAAGGCCCTCACAAACTGTTCCCAGCCCTAACCTGACATCAGAAGCAAACAAGCTGCTCACCTCCCTGCTCCATCCTCCATGATGATCCATGTTCATTCCTACTCCATACCTGCTGATGCTCTATTACAAGAGGCCTAAAAGGTTAAGTAGGAGAGCAACCTTTTGAGAATTCTCAGGCCCCATGTACCAGCAGCCTTCCTGGGAACTCAGCTGGCTTTCTGGGTTTTCTCAGGTAATCTCCTTCCTCAGGGTTATCTCCCCCTTAGCAAAGTCCCCCACTAGGATTGCTGGCTTGGGAACTACAGCAGGGGTCCTTAGCCTGCCTGCTGTTCTGTTACAGGAAACTCTTGGCCACCCCATGTCCCTGGAGCCTGACATGTGGTCAGCATAGCCTTTCTTGGCTCGGGTCTTTCAGGTAGCCCCATTTGGGGAGCCTAAGTGCAGACTCCTGTGATTGCCCTATGGTTCCTTGGTTGGACAGAGTTTCCCCCATAAGACCACAGAGCAACTGCCAAGCTGCTCACCCCTTCCCAAGGTTGTGGCTGTAGCTGTAGCTAGCCCTTTGATTCGTGCCTCTCATTTGGGGTTGGAGGGCTTTTCTTTTCCCTCTCTGACCTCGAAAGTTAGAGCTCCTAGTGAGGGTCAGCTCTAAGAAAAGTGTTCAGTGTTTCCTGGTGGTTTGTGTTTCGCTAGGGCCTTTGGACCCTTGGCTTTCTGGGTTTTCTTGCCTCCTGATTTAGGGATGGTCTTAGTTTTATCTGGTTGTTGGGCCAGTCCTCAACCTCCTTTGGTTTGGAGCTAGGGGCCCTGTGTGTATGAGGAACATAGTTTGGGTGATGCAGAGGCACCCATGATGAGACTTGCTAAGCCTCTGGGCTGTTAAGTGTCCTGGACCTCCAGGGCGGGCCTGAGTGGCCTTCTTTTCAAGTGTTTTCATAAGTTTGTATTTTATTTACGGGTGGTTTATCTTTCAGAGTAGCCACACCTGGCTGGCTATCCCCTCAGCCTCTGGGATCCTGCCTCCTCAAACCAGAGAGCTGCCTGGCCGGTGCCTACCCTGTGTCACTGGGAGCCCAGCTTCTATGCTCACGGGTATTTTTTTCTTTGTAAAGTTTATAAAGTTATTTATATGAATCTTTGTTATGTCGACTGGTTTGTATTGCCTATTTTGATTACAGAATAAAAACATTTTAACAAATGCTTCAGTTTCCTGTTGCCTTCCAGCAAAAGACTAGCTCAGAGCAGCTAAGGCAGATCCAGCTTGGTTTCTAAATCTCTTCTCGCTGCCTTTTTTTTTTTTTTTTTTTTTGGCCTGCTGACAAGTGAGATTTGTGCACCACCACCAGCAGCCAGTGGCTCTACAAAGTTGCAGCACACCTCAGAAGGCAGGATTGGCTTCCTGGGCCCTTAATTGCACCTATGTATCGCTGACACTACTCCTGAGGGGACCTGGAGTGAACCTAAACCGCTTGCTCCAAAACTGGGATGGGTGCTAGACTCTTTCCCACTGCACCAGCTGAATTCCTAGTACTCAAAGCTGTGGCGTGTCATTTGCTGCATAACAAGAGTTGACCTGGGACCACACCAAAACTCTCCCAAGGGCCATTAGGAGCCACGCTTTCATGCCTTGGCACTATCCTTTGCCTCTCTTCACACACTAGTTAGCTGTCCTGCAGCTTCTTACCGCCTCTTCCATCTGGCTCCTGAAGGGTGTGGCTCCAGTTAACAGCCACCGCCCTTTCTAGTCAGAGCCTGTTTGAGTGGAGATGTGCTTTAGGGAAAGTGCCCCTCCCCAGCACCTCCACCATCCTACCCCCGCCCTTGTTGCAGTTCTTGAAAAGTGCTCCGCCTTATCTGCTGAGTGTATACTATTAAGGGACCTCCCAGAGACGAGGGTGGCATTGCGCTGGGCACTGGATATAGAACAGCCGGGTAAACTGGGAGAAGCTTTTAGCTGAACCGTTCTGCCTGCCTCTCCGACTTTTTCTGCTATTTAGTCCCTCCCTTGCTACGTGCCATGAGCCCCAGATCAGAAAGGGCTGAGTGCAGCCAAACAGCTGCTGAGGACTGGGGTCCTCCGAGCTCCAGGCCACAGAGGAGCAGGGCAGGGAGGGGAGCCAACCGCGCAGGGCGGTATCATGCAGGCCCCGCCTTGCCCGCCTGCGCAGCTCATTGGCCCCGAGCGCACTGACTCGCGGGCGGAGCAGGAAGGAAACCGCTCCCAAGCGCGGCGGCAGCGTCGTTCCTAGCGTGCAGTTGCTGCTCCTACCATCTCGGTTGGTTTGCGTGTCCCCTTCTTGCAGCATGAGTGGTCTGCGCGTCTACAGCACGTCGGTCACCGGCTCTCGTGAAGTAAGTGTGTGCCTGGGCCTGCGCCCGGGGAAGGCGGGCCGTCTCCCTGTGCTCCGACCGGCGCCCGGGAGCCGCCCCCACGATGGAGGCAGTGAGGTGTGGGGTATGGCCTCCCAGGTCTATTCCGGGGGACGCGGCCCAGCCTGAACCCCTCCACTAGGAGTCCTTCCGCATCCCCAGCATGAGCTGCCCACGCCCATCCCCCAGTATGGGGCCAGCCATTCTATTGCACCCTCCCACACGCACACACACCTCCTTAATCCCGCTTCCTCTCCACTGTGAGGCTGTGGAGGAGGGTATTTCCCCTGTAGGGCCTGGGCCTGCGGCTTCTCTGACTTACCTAGAACTTGACCGGCTTCTCTTTCTCAGACTTCTGTAGGCGATCCCTCTCATCCTTGGACCCTTCCCATCCCTTAGTGGCCAGAATCTCCCCGTAGAGTGGGCAGGAGGACAAAAGCTCCCGCTAACACCAGGCCAGAGTTCCTTCCGTAAATCTTTCAGCCTGCTTGCCAACCCTGTCAATCCTCTGCCCCTAGATCAAGTCCCAGCAGAGTGAAGTGACCCGCATCCTAGATGGGAAGCGAATCCAGTACCAGCTAGTGGACATCTCCCAGGACAACGCCCTTCGAGATGAGATGCGAAACTTGGCAGGCAACCCCAAGGCCACCCCACCACAGATTGTCAACGGGGATCAGTACTGTGGGGTATGGGGTTTGGGGTCTGGGAGGTGTTGGAGGACAGCAGCCAGGGTCAGACCTGGGCAAAGCAGTAGTGTCCCATGGGCCTGCACTCAGGTGACTACCCCCTCTCTCAGGACTATGAACTCTTCGTGGAGGCTGTGGAACAGAACACGCTTCAAGAGTTCCTGAAGCTGGCCTGAGTAGGGATGGCCAGTCTACCCAACTCCTCACCAAGCCTTGAAGGACCTTGTGACCAACTCTCTCATTCCAATTCTGACCTTGGAGTCCCTCCCTGCAAACCCAAGCCCTTTCTGTACCCTCCTTCCTTCAGAGGTAACATTCCTTACTCACCAGCTGGTCTCAGATTGTCTTAAGCAAGGCCCCAGTGCTGGCTGTCCCTAGCCAGGCCTTGGGGCTACCTCCCTGCCTGGCACTGCCTGATGGGTATTTCTGTTAGTTCCATCAGCAAGAGCTCTGCCAAAGGCCCCCCCCCCCCGCAGTCCCCATCTTGGGAGCATCCTAGAGACAATTAAATGCCCATTCCACTGGTGCAGTCTGCCTGGTTATGGCGTCGTAAGTCCCCGCTGGTCTTGGTGGTGGTTCTGGTTAAGATGTGCTACAGTGTTGTGTGAGTGTGTGGCATGTGTTTGTGTCTGACAGCACATGACCATGGTTGACATGCAGTTTCTCCTCATGGTAGTTGAGTCATCCTCAGTTTCCATGCAGGCTCTGGTGTTCATCTGTCTGCCTGACATTGAGGTGACTGCCCCAGGGCTGTTTGCTTGCTTGGAGACCGATTCAGTGTGGGTGTCAGAGGAGGTGTGCAGCTAGCTGCAGCTGTATCAGACTGAGGCACGGGGGTAGTTGTGGCGATGGGTTTGTACACAGTAAGGAGAAAGTGTCTGCGTGAGCACACAGATCTATATGTGTGTGGCTGTCGCCAGACGCCTCACCCCCAGTGAGGCTCCCCTGACCCAGCTGAGAGAGAGAATGTCAACTCAGTTAGGACTGGCCGCTGCCTCCACAGGATCTACTTAGCACACCTTGAGAGAAAAGGGAACCTAGGGGACAAAGAGCCAGTGGCTATGCGGGGGCTCCAGTTACAGGCCTAAGCGTCTGTACCGCCCCCTCCCTCACCCAGCCTTCCCCTCTGGACTGCCCTGTCTGGAGAGCCTTGTGGAGCCCATGATGTCAGGGGCGGCACTTTATTCAGGGAGGTGAGCCTGGGCCAGGGTGAGGGCCAGAACCAGTACCAAAGCTGGGGTTCGACAGTAGGGCTTTTTGAGCCCGTAACAGAAGTGTTGCATTGGGGACCAGGCCTGCGGCCTGCAGTGTGAGTGAATCATCCTGGTAGACCATGGGTGGGAAGGTGCTGAAGATCTCAAAGGTGGCCGAGTCCATGTCCCTAGGTGTCCATCAGAGTACATCAAGCTAGGCCATGAGGCCAAGGACTTCCTGCAGCCTCCAGCCCTGCCCTGTACCCACCTGGCCTGTGCTAAGAGGTTTCGCACATCACCAACAGTGTCCTCGGGCCGCATCATTAACAGGAAGGCCTGCTCCCCGTTCTCAGACTTGATGCGCAGCATGGAGAGCGGAGGCACCGGCATGTTGGGTGACTCCTGGCTCCTGCAGGTCCACAGAGCCTCAGTGCTCCCTAGCTCCCAGGTCCTTTCCCTGATGCCCTGCCCTCACCTCTGCTCAGCCCTCACCTCTGCCGCTCAGAAGCCAAGGCAGGTGTCTCCACTATGATCTCCTGGATCCGGGCAGGCATTGGGCAACAGCTCTGGAAGGCAGTCATGAAAGTGGGTGGAGACCCGGGCCCCCATTTCCTCTACCCTTAGAGGACTGGCTCATTCTTGAGCAGGGATGGATGAGGCCAATGAGCCAAACAGCTGGGGTGCTCTGTGTAGAGGGAAGGAGGCTCTGGAAAGCAACACATCATTCTCCCAGTCCAGTGTGGGAGACAAGGCCACCCAGGTGGTGGCCAGGCTTGGGGACCTAACCTGGCCTGGGCTCAGGAAAGACACCTGAGCTAAGTCTGAAGGATGAGTAACGTCACCTGCAATGGAATGGGACAGAGGCACTCCCTACAGCACAAATAACCTGACCAACAGGAACCTGGAGGAGGAGATACAGTCGGGAGCCTGCCAGCAGCTCACAGCTTTTAAAGCAGGAAAGGAAGGAACGGCCAGAGGACACTGATACAAAATGGAAATTCAATGCCCAGATAAGGGCCATGGCTTTCTCCAAGAATGCCCAGGCAGTTCCAACAGAGAAGGCTGCGGGGCGCACGGCTAGCAGTGGTAGGAAGGAGGCGGGAAGGCCAGCACAGAAAGGCGGCGAGACACTCTGCAGCCTGGGCTGGATGGTGGTGACTAGGCAATACCAGACAACTGAGGTAAAGGAGAGGAGTCTGGGGACACTGAGACTTGGTACCCCTTTCTCGGGTGTAACTTGGGAAGGAAGAACGAGAGTAAAGACAAGACCATGAACTCACAGCATGTAAAAGGCCTGCAAGACAACTAAGCAGCACCTAGGCCAAGCTCAAGGGCAGGCTCTGGACCTTAGGCTCATCCCCCACCCCCTCCGCTGTAGCCACCCCAGCTGCCTGTGGAGGAGAGCATGGGATCCTCACCAGCTCTACCAAGATATGACACAGTTCTGAGGGTGAACTTGCCATCCTGGCCTTTACTTGGGGCCTATAGGCCCGAGCCTCCAGGCTGAGCCAGGGTTGGTGGTAAACTCCCCCTAAAGAAAGCTGGGTAATTAGGGCAGGCCTCACCTGCAAGGTGTCCCTGATGGGGCCCCGGATGTCAATCACCTGGCCTTGTCGGATTACACACTTGGGAAGCGTGTTCAGAAATTTCTCAGCAGTCATCCTGGAGCCTGCAGGGAGGGCATTGGGAATCTTGGCCCAGGAGGGACAGTAAGTTCTGATAGAGGCCACGAGGAGCTTGCTCTACACAGTCCCCCAGCCAACCTCGGGAGCCAGCGTACCTGAAGTATCCTCCAACCTATCGGAGGTCTTGCGAATTTTCTGTCGGCCCACCACACGGCCCTCACCTGGGAATGAGCCCAGCCCATCCTCTGGGAAGACCTGATTACGCAGGTCGCTTACCTGGCAGGACGGAAAGCCCACAGAAGCAGGGAGCCCAGCTCCAGCCCTGCAACCTCAACCCCACCCATTCACCCAGAGGCCTCAAGAACAAACCAAGGGACAGTCTAATACAAGAGAACCACAGTTCATGTTGCTGCTACCACCTCAGGCCCCATTCGTGCAAGCACCCCGTACTCATATCAGCTGAAGCCATAGCACTGATAAGCCCCTCCCCCACTGGAAGCTGGCTATACAGGGAATGAATGTCAGGATAGGGTAGAGCCTTGCTCTTGTCTAGTCTGCAAGGCCGACAACTATCACTGCAGGTCACCACAATTAACTGTCCTGTCAAGGCAGTTCCAAGGCTGTCTTCACACAGAAATCTCAAAACCCCCAGTCATGACTCACACTATCGTTTGCATCATGGTGGCACACACCCTCGCTGTGGAGATAACCCGCCTCCGGAGCCTGATGCCTCCTGGTCCCCATGATGACAACCTTCATCTCACTCAGCCCTGGTAACACGGGGGCTCATCTCCTGTCCTTGCAGCCCAGCCAGGACTGACACTTTTCAGTGTTCACAACTCATGCCACCCTAACCACATGGTTTTAGAAGCTTCTGGGGTAAAGTAAGCCGCGTCCCCCCCCCCCCCCCCCCGTGTATTATAGATCCACGGTGCCCTGAATGCTGAAGAGGGTGGGCAGAGTAGAGCCTCTACCACCAACCATGGACCTTCAAGATGCCAGCAGAGGGCACTGTCTGCTGCTCAGCTTGGGGGACCTCATGGTGGCTCCGGCCTTTCACTCTGTTCCCTCACCCTCCTGCAAGGCACCCTGACTGGGTCCCCTGAGTGGATGGCTCCCTCTTAGAATGGCTGATCCCTGAGCAAGCTATCCCCATTCTCTGCAAAGCCATACCGGAAAGAGGTGGGTTGAGGAGCCAGCCGCTGGTTACCTTAAAGGGGACTCCATCAGGGTACAACCGCTGGAGCTCTGAGGGAAAGAAGCCATCCAGTATGTCCCGGAGGCAGCGCTGCAGGAGAGTGAACGGGCCTCTATAACCATGCTACGCCATGCTCTGCCAAGCCCGCTACCTGTTTGGTTGGCAAGCCCTAAGCATCATATTCCAGAAATATTGGGAGCTCCAAGATTGGGGCCTGTGTACTTCGTGGAGGGCAAGCTAGTACAGTGAGCTGGTTCCACCATCTCCAAGCAGAGCTGAGGAAGTGGTGTGGATCCCAGGGCCCCACCCTACCTGTGTGGAGGGATCGTAGAAGGGCCGGAAGGGCCCGTCAAACATCATAATGCCGTTCCGGTAGAGCTTTAGTGGGATGGGCTCCAGGGTTCGGAGCTTCGCCCCACCAGGCGCTGGTGTCACTTGGGCCTCTCCCTCTACCACCAGCTCACTCAGATCCTGCAGACTAGCCAGCAGTCTGTCAAAGTCCACCTCGGGGGGCACAAAAGAATCCCCTGACAAAGAGAAGCAGATGCCCATGAGCCTCTGGCTGCCATGTCCTGGCAGCTCTGACTTCGGGGCGGGGCGGGGCGGGGGGCTCCTGCGCTGAGCAGAGGCCTGGGGCCCTGAAAGAAAAGGGTAACTGCACTAGGTAACACGGGCAGCTATCTTTTATTGGATGCTCACTCTGAACTCTGTTATTTGAGCCCTGGTCCATGCAGCTTGAGCTGTAGTGAGGATGACCTTGATCCCCTGATCCTTCTACTTCCACATCCCAAGTGCTGGGATTGCATGAGTGTCACTAACATAACAGGACACTTAACTTTGGGTCAAGTAAATGTCTTAGAAATGCACAGCGTTACGAGCAAAAGCAAGGCCTGGTAGTAGATCTGTGCCAGGAACCGGGTTGGCAGAGCTCCCAGCTCTGGATCAAAGCTTTCAAGGTTCAAATCCTAGCCCCTGTACTTCTTCCTGTGTGGCCTTACCACAGTGCTCGGGGCTAGAATGGGATGCCAGTAGTGTTGGTCTCCCAGGGTGGCTATAAGGTGCCAAGGAAATGGCCATATGAGGCTAACTTGGAACAGCCTGAACTGTCCATGTCCGATTGCTGGTCACCAGCTCTACCTTGTACAAATGGTCCTCAGGCCAACCCCAAGGCTGGGAGGCAGGGGCTGTTTAATCTCTACCAATGGCATGAGGAAACAATATCAGAAAAATGAAGTGACTCATCCCAGGCCAGCTGGCAAGTTAGGGGACTTAGGACCCAGCTGTATCATCAGGAGAGGGAGGACAAGGGTGGG